GCATGCAGCCTGCGTTGGCCCTCGCTACACTGCCCGCGTCGTAGGGAAGGGCTTCGGTGGATCACCCCTAACACAGCACCCTGATAGCAGCAACGGTGAAGAGGCAGGTCGAGGAGCAGGATGTCGGCGAGGCTTGACAGGGGTCAGGGCAAGGCCATGCGCACCGCAGTGCACTCTGTTGCAGGGGGTCGTGGCCCTGGGACTGGGCTGAGAGCACGGCCGTGTGCTCCGCAGTTCTCCGCTGCAGGGGGCCGTGGCCGTGCGACGCGGGGCGAGGGCACGCCCGTGTGCACCGCAGCGGCGCTGTTCCAAGGGGGCCGTGGCCGTGCGGCAGGGGCGGGAGCACGGTGATGTGCACCCGGAGGCACTCCTGCTGTACACACTGTGGATGTCTATTTCTTCGAGAGTTCTTTGATTTCTTGGGGGGCGAGGTCCTTTCATTTCTGATTCTTCTATCCTGGGCCTCTTCCTGGCCACTGGGGGGCCAGGAACAGTTAGAAGCGAGCACAGCTTTGCAATGAGCGCGATTAGAAACGAGCGACGTGCACAAGGGATGGCAGCCGGCACCGAGGCGAGAGCGCGATTCCCGAGTACAGTTTGTGAGGGAAACGAGCAATGCCATAAACATACGAACTCGGATGCCCGCGCGGATTTCTCGGATCGGCGCTGGGGCCCCCTGGCGGCGCCTGGGGCTCCGCCCCTGGCGCGCTCCGCGCGCGAGGGAAGGGGCCCCAGGCGCCGATCCGAGAAATCCGCTCGCACCTCCGAGCTCTTACGCCATTGCTCGCTTCCCTGGTTGTGAGGAAGTCTCCGACGAAGCAGCTGCCGGGCTCGGCGAGCTCGGGGGGCCACGTCGTGGCCGCCCCCCCGTCCCCCTGAGGGGCTCTTGTGGCCATTCGTTGTCTACTTTGTGGTCTGACCCTCTACAGCGAAGCGCAAAATCCAGGAATCCAGCACGCGCTGGTGGCGCTGACACGCGCTCTGCAGACCGCCGAGGAGAGCCACACCGCCCCCACCCCCCCGAGAGGAGCCGCGGAGAGAGGTAGACTCAAGAGCCCCCCCCCTCCGAGGCCGTGGGCGCAGCGCAGGCGGAGGGCATCCCCGCCGCCATCGCCCGCACCAGCATGGCCGCGAGCTGATTGCGGGCGCCGGCGGGCCCGGCGCGGTTCGTCCGAGGCCGGGGCTAGTCCATCGGGGGCGGCCAGGGGAGGAGAAGTTGCCGGTAGCGCTGCCCTGGCCTCGTTCCCGCCTTTTGGGGCCTCCAGGGAGGCCCCCGCCGCGTGGGCCACGGCTGGATCCGCCTCGAAATTCTGGTCGGGACGCACCCCAGGAGAGGTCCGGGGAGTGGCGGTATCCGTGCCTTTTTTGCCTCCCCCCGAGGGGGGAGGGTGATAACTAGGGAGCATGAGCATCATGGCGGGGGCCATGGTGTCTCCCAGATCTCATGGCCCCCCCCCTTCTTCTTGAAATCCGTCTCTCGGCACCCCTTGGGATTTGCGAGCCCCCCTCTTCAACGCCCCCCGATTGAACGCCCCCGAGTCCACCGCCCCCTATACATATACCGTAGCACCTCGCAGTTGCGGATAAGAGTGAGTGGGCGGCGGGGTCGTCGGCAGTGTGCGAGTCTCGGAAGAAACCCGCCGCAGGCGCCGAATTCTTCATCAACGCAATGTGGGTGGGTTGCGGGTGGGTCGCGGGTGGGTCGCGGGCGAGGACGAAGACATCACCAACAATGCAACAACAACGCAACAACAGTCCGCACCGCGGAGGTCCACCTCAGCCGCGCGCCCAGGGACAACGAATGACCGCTCGGCCCCCTCACTCTGATATTTATACGTGATCATGTGTAATGGATATATGTGTATATATACAAGACTGCAGTGGCGCTTCGCGCCATGCACCTTGGTCCTTTGAGTTTGATGTGCAGGCGGAATAGCAGAAAGGTCAAGCCGACAATTTAGAGATAACTCCTTCTTGCCTTTTCCGGCATCGCCGCTATACTAATGTTATGCGTTATCCTGTCTCCATGCTTCTTTTTCCTTATTTTCGCCGTACCCTGTGCATTCTCCCCATCCTCCTCAGTTCTGTTTGACGGAGGCTCCTGCTTGGAGAGCCTCTGGGGGCCTCACAAAAGTTGTTTCAGGCTTTCTTGGCCTTCTGGAGGCCTCCTGGGCGTATTCTGGGGGCCTCTGGGGACTTCCTCGGGCCACCCTGCCTCCAACCGCGGTCTCCCTGAACGACCGGGTCACGATTTGGAATGCTTCGGAGGGCGTCTTGGGGCCATCTTCCGGGTCCATGGGGCTCTCTGAGGGCCATCTTGGACCCGTGTTGTGCCGTTTTGGGGCTCTCTTGGACTGCCTGGAAGCCCTTTTGGATGGCTGTGGGGCGATGTTGGAGCCTCCCAGGCGGCTTCGGACGCCCAGAAGACCGCCGTCTTGGAGCGTCGGGAAGCCGAAAAGAGGATGACCCCCAAATTCAGCAAACAACAGCAGAAAATCAAGGATTTGTGCCTCTTGGGGTCTTCTTGGGAGTGCTCTTGGAGGCCTCTTTGGGGCCGTCCTGGAGGCCTTTTGGGCCATCTTGAGGTCACGTCGGTCACTCTTGGAGCGCTCTTGTGCTGTCTTGGGGGTCTCTGGGACGTCTCCGATGACCCCCCTGATCGCTCTAGGTGTGCTGGGAAGGCTTGGCAAAACGCCCTGCGAGGCCCAGGGGGCCGCTTCGAGGCGCGTCCGGAGGGTCCCAAAACCCCAGATCCACGGAGTCCGTTTTTTTTGGGGGGGGGGACGGGTTTTCCCCCGCCCAGGCTCGTAAACATATAGGAAGAGGTATATATATAATATGAGTATGTACATGTATATATGTATGTGCGTGTCTGCTTGCATGTATGTATGCCTGTCTGTCTGTCTGTGTGTATGTATGTATGTATGTATGCATGCATGTATGTATGTATGTATGTATGTGTGTATGTGTGTATGTGTGTATGTACGTATGTCTGTCTGTCTGCCTGCCTGCCTGCCTGCCTGCCTGCCTGTCTGTCTGTATGTATGTATGTATGTATGTATGTATGTATGTACGTATGTGTATGCATGTGCATGTGTATGTGTGTATACATGTATGGATGGATGTAAATATGTATACATGTATGTGGGTATGTATGTATGTATGCATGCATGCATGCATGTATGTATGTATGTATGTATGTGTATGTATGTATGTATGTATGTATGTATGTATGTATGTATGTATGTATGTATGTATGTATGTATGTATGTATGTATGTATGTATGTATGTATGTATGTATGTATGTATGTATGTATGTATGTATGTATGTATGTATGTATGTATGCATGTATGTATGTATGTATGTATGTATGTATGTATGTATGTATGTATGTTTGTATGTATGTATGTATGTATGTATGTATGTATGTATATATGCATGTGTGTGTATGTATGTATGTATGTATGTATGACTGTATGTATGTATGTATGTATGTATGTATGTATGCATGTATGTATGTATGTGTGTATGTACATGCGCACGTACGTATGTATGGATGGCTGCCTGTCTGTATGTATGTATGCCTGTCTGTATGTATGTATGCATGCACGTATGGATGCATACGAGTCGTATGTAGGTACGTATGGATGTCGTTCGGATTGTATGTATATGTGTATGTATGCTTGCATGCCTACATGTATACATATAAGCAACCAGACACTTACACACAACTATATATATATACGATCCATATATATATATATGTACATACCTATAACTGTCTATATATATGGCCATGGACAGAGGCGGGGGCGGAGGGGCGGCCTCGTGGTGACGGCTCGGGGGGTGGGGTGGGGGGGGGGGGGGCGAGAGGCGCCCCCCCCGCCGCCAATCCCCGGAGGCGCAGCCAACAGACACTGCACGAGGGCGGGAGCTTGCCTGGGGGGCGCCCGGATCTCTGCTGTCATGGGAGGGGGGGGTAACAGCGGATAGCCCCCCTGGCCTTCCAGAGAGCTATTGTTTTAGCTCCGGAGGCCTAAAAGCTAAAAGCATAAAGAAGCTGACGAAACAGCCTGAAGCCAAGACGCATGATAGCTTTTGGGTGGGTTTTTAAGTCGGGTGCTATTTCTTAGCCCTCCTGGAAGGTCAGGGCCAGGGGGGGTGGGGCGGGTTGGGGCGGGGTGGGGTGGGGAGCAGCGGATCGCCCAGGGGGAAACAGCGGACAGCCCAGGGTGGGGAGCAGCAGATGCCCCAGGGGGGGCCCGTCCGGATTCAGGGGGCGGGGTGTGGTGGGCAAGCGGATAGCCCAGGGGGGGCCTCACACAGGCGCCTCTGGGGGCATCGCAGATTACAGGTGTCCCGTGTCCATGCTCGCGACCATTTTTGTTCCCCTGGCGGGAATAGGCGTGCCCAGAGGGGGGGGCCGGGCCGGTAACGTTACAATTCGCTCCAGCGCCGTCGTAGGAATGGCTAGTGCCCAGACGGCGCCAGCGCGAATCGTGACGTTCGGCAGGGGGCGAGGGGGGCGGGACAGGCAACAGGGTCTATCGTACAGAATTGCGAAATTCGTAAGCTCCTGACGAACGGAATTGTTTTGGCAGTTTTCGTCTTTAGAGGGCCTCGGGGGCCCCCGCTGGGCCCCATGGCCGGCAAAACCTGCTCGGGCAAGAGTGTCGCGATTTCCGCGGACCCCGTATGGAGAATATCGAGACGTCGGACGTCTGGGTCCACGCCCACAGCCCAGGAAACCGATCCTCCTGGACCCCAGCAGACGGAGGAGGTGGATACGTCCTGGCCCCAGGGGGGCCGGCTGTGTGTCCGTATCCCCTGCCTGGAGGTCCCCGAAGATCGATCCCGCAAGCGGCGCAGGTTTGGGTCGCAGTTGGCCGCCCCGCTCCGCCGCCGACGCTCCCCTGAGGTCCGACCGACGCCAATGAAAGTCGCGGCGGCCCCCCTCTCCACGTTTCCGGCCCGTGGCGGGGCAGGCTGCTGGCCCCGAGGCTGTTCATCGACGGCTCGGGGTGAACGGCCGGCCTCGGGGAAAGGGGGTCGAGATCCCCGCGGGTCGCCATCGCAGTTCTCCCACACAGGGCGTGTTTCCGACACCTTCTCGGGACCCCTGCTCGGGTGCCCCCCAGAGAAGGTGCGGTGACCACACCGTCGGGTGAGTCGGTGGGGATTTCGGGGTGGCCGCACGGTTTTCGGACTTTGGTCGTTCTCCAAGGACGTCTCGGGCGACTGGGGCCTCTCTGGTCCTAAAATCAAGCGGTGGCGAAGCGTCCTGGCGTGTCTATAGGCCTACAAAAGATGTTCTAGGAAACCTTTTTGTAGTTTCCGACCACGAAGTTGTCTTAGAGCATTTCTGGCTGCGACTGTTTTCTTTTAACGCATCGGGCGTATGTTCTAAAAACATTGTTTTAGTTCATAGAGCATTTCTGTGTTCTAAGAATATGTCGCGGTAGAGACCCGTAGGAATGCCGGGACGGCGGGTCCCTGCTCAATAAAACCGTGCGGTGGCGTTCTGTGCCGCGAGGTCTCCCGGCAGGCCGAGGTCACCGCACGGTCTGTCACCGCACCGCGTCGGGACCCCCAAGCAGGGCCATCGCGGGCCGATCCGGCTCGAGAGGTGCCGCCGAAGGATGGGGTCGATGCGGTTCGAGTTCAGTCAGCCCTGCAGGGCCCGAGGCGGGTCGAACTCGACGTGAGTTCGAGCCTGCGGGGCCCGGGGCGACTCGAACTCGGTGTGAGTTCGAGCCTGCGGGGCCCGAGGCGGTTCGAACTCAGCCTGAAGTCGAGCTTGCAGGGGGGGGGGGGGCCCGGTCGTGGTGTCCCACGCGGCGGCGGCTGTGTCGCGGCGGCACATCGCAGGGCGCCGCCGGGCTCCACGCACGGTGTGGAATGAGGTCACGGGGCCCCGAGGCCTGGGCCCCAGCATCTCACCACCCGCCAAACCACCCCAACCCAACCCGACGTCCTCAATTTGCCCTCCATTTCCAGTGGGGGGGGGGGGGTCGGGGAACATTCTGAAAACACATGTGGAACCCGTACCCCCCCCCCAACCCGAAATTCGGGTCTTCGGGTTGGGTTGGGGTGGTCTGGTAGGTAGTCAGCATCGCCCGCGGCCGGCGCGGCAGTTCCCTCCCTGCTCACGCCACCTCGCTTCCTGGGATTCGCCGAGCGCGTGCCACTGCTCGCAGGGTGCCTGCTCGCAAACGTCCGACATGTACAAGTCTTCCTCCATGTCAGATGAATCGTAAGTCCCCCGCGGCGGCTCCAGGCAATTTGCGAGTCGGTGATTTGCGAGTCGTGGAGCGCGCCTGCCCAAATATGGCGAGGTCAAGGAGGGGCCTCGCCTTCCAGGATATCGAAGGAGAGGTGTCGTCTCTTCCTCGGCGGGAGGCGGTGGAAGGCTGTGGCGGAGGGCGGCGGGAGCAGAACGACGTCGCCTCTTCCTCCTCCTCCTCCTCCTCCTCGGCGGCGGAAGTAAAACAAGCACCCCGAAGAGATGGCAACATTTTTGGGTTCAGGGTTTGCTCAGGGACGCTCGCGTCGTGAAAAGATCACGGCGGCGGTTTTTGTTGTCGTCTTCGGCTCTGGGGGGCCCCCCGCTGGGCCCCGGGGCCATCAAGTAGCGACTCGGGACGGGAAGCCTGCCCCGGGGAAGGGGTCTGGGCTTCCGGAGACCCCGTTGCGAACAAACGCAGACATCAAGTGTCTGGTTCCTCTGCCCCTGCTTCCTCCACGTCGGGGGGGCGTCGTGGAAGCAGGGGGTGGGGATGATGATGATGATGATGAGGCCTGAGTGCGAGCGCGCAGGGGTACCATGGCCAGGGCCACGACAGCTCACAGATGTCATGCCTCCCCTCTCGTGCCTCCTCGCTGCGTCCCCCGCCCCCCTGGTCCGCACACATGCCCCCGGGCCATGGTGCGCATTCCCCCTCTCCCCGTCGCCCCGCATTCCGCGGACCCGATCCGCCCACAGACGACGTGGACCTCCGGGAAGTTTTGACCCACGGCTCGGCAGAAGGGCCCCCAGAGGCCGGCCAAGGGGCAAGAATCTTCCGTCGCTGTTTTGTTGTCCGACGCGAGGGGGTGGGGCTTCTCGGAGGCGCTGGTCGTGGGCTGGCCAAGGAGTCTCGGAATTCGGCGAAGGAGTTCGGTGTATATGCGGTCCCGCGTCCCGCATCTTGGAAAGCTGAGGCGTCTACAGTAGGCATGTCAAAAAAGAAATGGTCCTCACGGAAATGTATTCTCCCCCGATGGCCCCAGGGACCCACGCAAGCTTTAGGCCACCTTACGACCCTCAAAGATCGACGAAGGATGCGGCTAAAGTAGCAGGATCTCTTTCTCGAAGAGGCATGCACGCTATAAAAACAAACTTTTGGCGCTACGCGTGGATTTCTTGGCTCCGCGCTAGGCCCCCGCGGCGGCGCCTCTGGCGCCGCCCCTGGCGCGCTCCGCGCCCCAGGGAGGGGGGTCCAGCGCAGATCCAAGAACTCCGCGCGGAGCGCCAAAAGTCTCTGTTTATGCAGTTGTTTTGTTCTTCTTCTCCTCTTTCTTCTTCTTCTCCTTCTTCTTCATGTATACTAAGCTCCTTGGCCGACGACTTGGTGTCTTCTTCTTGCCTGTCCCACGCGTGTGCTCTCTCCGCCCCGTCCTCGCCACGTCCTCCTCCCGGCCGGGGCCCCGGGACCCCGACTCCGCGCGCGCTCGCCGCCCGGCCCCGCCCGCCCACGAGCCCGCCGCCGCGGGGATCGCGACCGACATCTCGCGCCGGAGCCAGACTTCCACATGCGGCCCCGATCGTTGTTATCAAAATGAGCGCGCCCGCCACTCCAGGACCTGCGGCGGACTGACTTGTCTCCATCCAGGGCTCGAGCTGAACGGTGTCTTGGCGATTTCGTGGGCTTTTTCGGTTTGACTGCGTTGTGCAGCACCGGCGGAACGAAGGCAGACCGCGGGAAAACGACGACAGCAACACGCAAAGGACAAATGCTGTTTAGCTCGCTCCCGGTTCCAGGCCTGCGGCGGTCTTTTTGTCTCAACCTCGCAGTTTTTGACTCACAGTTTCGGCCTCCAGAGGGCCGTGTCTGGGCCCCCGCAGGCCATCAAAGGGCAACCCGGAGCGAGAAGCAAGCCGCGGTGCAGGGCTCGAGACCTCCTGGGGCCCGCGGATGGGAGAAAAGCAATCCGTCTGAGCTGCTGTGTTGGAAGAAGAGGGTGGAGAACTACCAGCGTGGCGAGATACTGGCATCTGGATGTCGTGGAGGCTCACGACAGTTGTCAGCTTACCCCATACTCGGGGGCCTGCGCCCGTTGATTGGTTTCGAGGAGTCTTACGGGATCGGACGCTAGACAAAGAAATATTTGTTGCCGAGATCCCCATGTGCATGTCGTTTCCAGCGCAGTCCGTGTATGAGTGTGTCTGGGCACAGGCGAGTCTAAATCAGATGAGGTATTGGTTCGAGTGGGTCTCAGCGGACCTCGTCACAACAGAGGTCTGAGAAATCTGGCGCCAGGAAGAAAAAACGTGTCCTCCTCACGCTTGCCTGTCACGCCATGCAGTCGTAGCATCGCGCGCGCGCCAGAGCGAGCATAGCCTAAGCCAGGATAGGATCGTCGTGAGTCCACGATCCCGCGATGGGCTTAGACACACATCTGTACTCACGTTTCCTGGCAGGCAGCCCCACTCGTCGAGTAAAGAAGCACCCCCGTCGGCGGAGGACGACAACTCCGTGGGCCCCGGCGAGATCTGATGCACAGCGGGGCCCTGCGCGTCGCCACGCTGGTCCCAGGCAGGCTGTGCTGCCCGGCGGAGGGGTGAAGCGGCAGGGAGCAGCAGGCAGACGACGAACGCGCAGGTGGGAGGCCGGGGCCAGCGGACCTCGTCGCGGCGCGGCTTGCTTCGCGCCGCGTGTGCCGCCCTTCCGTGCCCCGTGGGGCAGGGCGCACGCCTCGAGGCCGTCGTCGTTCCCCGCTCTCTTCCCCGGGAGAGCAGCTGGCACTTCGCGTCACGCCGCATGGAAGTCAAGCTCGCGCTTGCTCGCACGGTTGGCGCCACACCTCGCCTCGCAACGCGCAGCTGCCTCTCCAAGCTCTTCTTTAATGCAGCCACAAGGGGTAGTCGTAACATGTGTTTTGTGAATCCTCCAGGGCCCCACGGAAGCTGCAGCACTCTCCCGTAGCCCTTTTGGCTCAATCCCTATGGACCAGACTCGCTGCTTGGAGAACATGTGCCGGCTGGTTGACAGAAGTCTTTGCACGACGGCCGATTCTCGTTGAGATCATTTCAGGGGCGTCAGTTGTGATAAGCGTGCTGGCAAAGGGCGAGCCAGAGGGTTGTACGACAAGCAGCTACACAGTTTAGGCTCGTTCAGTTGCTGCATGTCTGCAGCTTGTGTGTATGATGATTTTCTGAGGTGGTTCGGCATCAGCAAGCACAGCGTGACACGGAGGCTGAATTCCCCAATCCTTGAGGACGAGACGCTGTTTTTAGATCTCTTATTTGAAGCTCGCAGAGTCGAACATATTGATACGCGCAGTCCGGTTCCGATTCTTACACGCAGTCGGATATGTTCAGTGCTCCTGACAGCAGTTTGGATTCATAGCTAATTTGCTGTTCAGGAGCAAGCCCAACAGTCCCCAAGAATTCTCCCAATTCCCCTTTCCCCCGCTGCACTCCAGATCGCAGGGGTACGCAGTCATGGCTCGTTGACGCCGCGTCGACGTGGCGGTGACGCCAGCGCGGTCGCTCAAGCATGAACGCTCTTCGGGCGTCCGTCCCGGGCCTTGGGACCCACATGCAGCAAACAACGGCGTGAAATCCATATGATAAATTCAGGAGGGGAAAAACACACACACACACAGACACAATGAATCCTCGATTCCCCAGAAAATATGGGAAAATATGGGAAGTGGGGGGGAAGACAGAAACCCAGAACATGTGGGAAAATATGGGGAATCTTTTTATTTGTGTGTATCCCCTTTCATAAATGTTGTCGAGAGCCCCCAGAAACCTTTTAGAGCAGAGATCGCTCAGGTCGCGCGCGATGTCCAAACCAGGGCCTACGTCGTCAAGGCAGGAATTTGACGTAGTTACTGCACCGATGCACGCGTTTTGTAGCGTTTCCAAGGAGACGCGCAAGCAACATGTATTACAACAGTACCAACGAACAGAGCGGGTCAGACCAGGCGGAGCTGGATCTGATCACGCCAACTAGCCGGTCTGGCTCAAGTTCGCGTCCTCGTCCCCTAACCTTCGTTGCGCGATGTCCGCTGCGGTCGGCAATCCGTTGGGCGGGCAGCTGCGCTGCGGCGGCGACGCAGATGGGCGCGCGTCGTCACCGGAGCCGTCCGACTCAGAGGTGGCGATGGCCCTGCAGGCCAGCCTGGCGGCGCCAGCCGGCCCCCCGGCGGAGCTGCCAGACGCCGACCCGGCGGGGCTGTCGGACGCCGACCTGGCGAGGGCCTTGCAGGCCAGGCTGGCAGCACCAGTTCCGGCCGGCCCTCCAGCAGTGCGGCGAGGCTGGCGGGCCTCGCCCCCGGCGGCCGCTCTGCCGGCGGGGAGGCCGCGGGCGGCCGCCGCGCGGCGCGTCATCCGCGTGCGCGAGCGCGGGGCCGCCGCGCCCGCGGCGGCCTCGCCCGCGGCCGCCGCTCTGCGCGCGCGAGCGCGCGCGGAGCCGCCGCCGCGGCGGCGGCGGCCGCGCCCGCGGCGGCGCACCGGCCGTGCCCTCGCGGCGAGCCGCGGGCGGCCATGGCGGCGCCCGCCGCGCCGGCGGTGCGGCGACCGCGCGGCAGCGCCCCCTCGGGGGCGGCGCGGCCGACTGGGGCGGCCGTGCCCGCGCCGGCACCCCCGCCGCGGGAGGCCGCGCCGCCGCGGCCGCCGCTTCCAGAGGCGCGGGTGGCGGCGCGCACGGCGCGGCCGCGCAGCACCGCGCGGGCAGGCCTGCGGCGGGGCGCTGCTGCGCCAGCCGTGCCCTCGCCCCCGCCGCTGGACGCCGAGCCGCCGTCCTCGCCCCTTGCAGAGGCCCACGGCCTCGGGGCCACGGGCACGCCCTCGGCGGAGGCGTCGGACGCCGAGCTGGTCCGTGGCCTGCGGGCGCGTATTGCGGGCAAGGCGTCGGGTGATCGCTCCCGGCTGGCGCCACGCCCGCCGACTCCTCTGTTCGTGCTGTTCGTGGCTTGCGGTCTGGAGTAGTGGGGCGTCCTCCGCTAATCCCGTTATGGACGACAGCCTGCCTCAGGGTCGGTGGCCCTCGGGCTCTTGGGTAGAGAGAGTCCTACAGAGGGGACGGGCCAGAACGACCCCAAAGGCCCCAGACTTCTCCTCCCCGCTCCTCTTTGCCAATCCCCTCCCATCCCCGTCGCTCCCTTCTCTTCTCCCCTCCATAATTGGCTACCATGTTTTGTTTATGTTACTTCTGCCCTTTCTATCCCTGTTTTCGCTAACCATGCAGATTGTTGCTTGCGGCTTGCCTTGGCCGCTTGCTGCTCGCCGTTTGTGGTGCTTGCTGCCTGTTGCTGACAGTTGCTTATCGTGGCTTGCCGCTTACTGCTTGTTGTTTGCTGTTTGTTTCTGTTCCAAGTGACGGTCCATCGGAACCTCGAGCCGAGGCTCGGCCATCCACAGTCTGAGCGCCGTAAGCTCAAGGGCAGCTCGCGAGCCTCGCGGCTGAAAGGCCTTCTGGAGCACGCGAGCCTCGTGGCTGAAAAGCTCAAGGGCAGCTCGCGAGCCTCCAGCACGAGTGAGCTCACCGGAGCACGGCCTTGCCAAGTCTTTCAATACTTCTCTACCGGACGGACTGATACCCAACGTGCAAGCCATGGGAGCGCAGGGCCCCGGTCTGCCATGGCTCGGCACACGGAAAGCGCACCGAGAGCAAACGAGATGCTGCGCCCGCCTCTCGGATCACCTGCCGCGTGGACGCCAGCAGCTGCCTCGACCTCCCCGGCGCGCTGTTGTCCAGCCGCACGCCTCGCTTCCCCCCTCGGAGGGTGACCGCAGCGGCTCGGCGTGGCGGGTGCAGCGCGGAAGGCGGAAGGCGGACGCAGTGCGCTGCTTGCTGCTGCTTGCTGCTTGCTGCCGCACTTGTCACCAAGCGCGTTCCACTACTCGCAGAGTGCCTGCTCGCAGACCTCCGGCAAAAACACACGTCTGCTTCGATGTAATGTATCGTAGATCCCCCGCGGCGGATCCAGGCCATCTGCGAGCAGTGACTTTGCGAGTCGTGGAACGCGCTCGTCTCCATTGGCTCTGCTGGTGGTGGCTGTTCTGCTGCTGGAGGTGCCCTGACGCGTTTTTGGAGTCAATGGGGGGGGCCGCGCTGGCGACCCTGTGGGGCATCTTGGCTTAAGTCGGGCCTGTCCCTCTACAGGAGGAATCTGCGAAAATGGTCCAAACATATTATGGGACAGTTTTTTGTTTTGAAAGTGTTGCCAATTTTTGATATGTGTTTGATACTTTTGATTTTTCCTCGAACATCGGCCTGCAGGGGGGCAGGCCCGACCTGCATCTTGGCTGCTCTTTTGGGGCGTCTTGGGCGCCGTGGCCGGGCATGTGGCGCCTCACGGTGCCGTACTGAGCTGCTCGGCTGCGCCCGTGGGAGTGACCCTTCGCCAGAGCGGCCTTTGATCGGAAACTGGAACGTGTACGTTACCAGTGGCGGGCTGTTTTTCAATCCTAGGACTTCTTGAGGGTCGGGGACGACGCTGGGGTGGTGTGGTGTATCCTTTTTTCCCCGATGCCCCGGGGAAGCAGCGAAACATGTATACACCAGGGTACCGTATACACCAGGATCCGCTCCCCAGTGCAAATTTCAATGCAGGGCGGGAAAAAGCGTCGGTGTATAGAGTTCGATTCCCTATTTGAATCGGGCCCACTGGGGTCCCCCGGTCGCTGAAAGTTGTGGACGACGATCAATGGAGAGGAAGCGTGTTGCCAAATCACTTCCAGATGCCCAACATCGTTTACACATGTCTTAAGCAGGTAAGCACATTTTTGACACTCTTTTGGAACATTGGTTTATACATGTTGGGCACATTTCTCACTCAATGATAGGATTGTCTGGATGTCCGTTGTCGTGGCATCCACGAGCCTCACGCGAGGCAGCATTGGCCTCCTGCGCGCCTGTGTTTGGCCTCCCCCCCGCGGCCCCCCCAAAAGCCGCGCACCGCAGGTCGCTCTTGCCCGGGGTCACTCTTGCGTGCCGCCGAGCTGCTCGCCTGGGGGCCCTGGTGGGCCCCGTTCTGGGGCGCCGCGGGGTCTTCGGGATGCCTTCTTGCGCCAACTTGGCGTCCTTTTCGGGACTCCTCCTGGGCCGTCTCGTGGCTACCTCATGCGCTCGTGGGGTCGTGTGGGGGCCTTCGGAGCGCGACCGCTGACAAGCATAGAAGCGAGAAGCACCGCTTGCCCCAGACACAGTTTATGAGTTCGCTCTTCTGAGGCCTCTCTCGGGTTCCCTTGCGACCTTCCTCATTGGGGCCTCTCGTGTGCGTTGTGTGGCTTCGTGGGGCCGCCTCCTTTTGTGACCATCTTGAGGCCGTCGCCGGCAATCCTGGGGGCTTCTCGGGACCCTCTTGGGTAATCTTGGGGCTTTCCGTTCGGAAATCGTACATAGGTGGAAGGTGTATTGGCAAACTTTGGACCTCTTGTATGTCTCCTTCGGTTTCCTGAGGCACCTTGGACCAGTACTGGAGCCTCGTGGCCGCCTCGCAGACTTGCCGGGACCGTCTTTTGTGCTGTCCGTGGGCTGTTGTGAAGCCGTCCTTGTGGCTCTTGGGTTGGGACGTTTCGTGCCGGCGCAGGCTGGTATTTTGGGGCCCTCCTGGATCACCTTTGAGCCCTCGGAGCCATGGGGAGCCTCGGAACGTCACAGTCTGTCAAGTTGGCTGGCGCCTCCGGTGTTTTCGGCCGTCGGGGGCCCTCTGGATGTTTCTCTTGGTTCCGTCCGCGCACTTCTGGGGGTCACGGGACCTCTTGAACTCTTGAACTTTGTTGCCTTGATACGCCCATGTTGAAACACAACAGTATTGTGTTCAACATGTTCGTGTTAGCACGCGGTGCTTCTGTGTCGGCACGTGACTGCGTGTTGAGTATCGGGGCAGCTAAGCTCTTGATTTGTCTTGGACGCCTTTTGGGTCAGCCTGGCACCCTCCAGAGGTGTGGTTCTCCTGGGCCATCTTGGGACCATCTGGACCCGCCCTTTGGACTGTACCGCGCCCGTTTTTTCCATCACGCCATGGGCTCTTGTGCACTCTGGCTTTTCTCTCTGTCTGTTTTTTTTTTTTTCTCTCTCTCTCTCTCTCTTTCTCTCTTTCTCTCTCTCTCTATATATATGTTTCTCTCTCTCTCTCTCTCTTGTTCTGTCTTTCTTTATATTTTTTTTTCTCTCTCGGTCTCTCTCTCTCTCTCTACCAGGATCGCCGCGGGGGGCTGCTAAGGGGACGGGGAGGTTACAAGCGGATGCCAACATTGTCATATCTGCCCCAATCTGGCTTGCCATTGCGTTACATGTGCCCCAGTTGGCTTAGGGGGGTTAGCGAGCCCGGCTCTAAGCGGTCTCCGCGCACTTCGCGGAGTTATCTGACCTCCCTGAAAGCCACCTGGGGCAGTTGCAGCCCACCTATAAGCCAGGTTGGGCCAGATATGAACCGCCGTAGCATCCGTTGATAACCCGCTTGTCCCCTTGGCAACCCCCGCGGCGATCCCCGATCCCGGTCTGCTCCACGGCTGGAGTTTGTACATGTAATACACCTCCTGGGGAATCGATCTCCCAGGACCCCAGAAGCGCGTAGATATGTACCTACGTATATATGTATAGATATGTGTGTGTGCGTGTGCGTGTGTGTGTGTGTGTGTGTGTGTGTGTGTGTGTGTTAAGATGTATTCTGGACCAGGGGGACCAAAGATGTGCATATCCACCGCCTCCTTCGGTCCTGGGAGATCGGTTCAGCAGACGTTGGACCTGTATGCGCCACGGCCTCGCAGCCCCTGGCCACCATCTCTCACGCCGGTGGCCCGAGGGGCTGGCGAGTGCGGAGAGCGCCGCGGACGTGTCTCCTGCAAAGTGCGGGCCTGCGCCCGCGCCCACCATCTCGAAGAGCAGAGAAAGGCACAGGCACGAACGTCCGGATGACCGCGCGGACATCTTGGGTCGGCAGTTCCAACCCCCCAATCTCCGAGCCCCCCCCCCAAAGAGCACTTGGCCATTTGACAACGAAGGGGAACGCGGGCGATACACCCCGTGGGGGCTCTTCGGACGCACCCCCACCGAGGATGGACGCCCCCCCCCTCGCATTTCCCGGGCGAGTCGGACCCACACTTCATTCGCTCCGTCGATCGTCGCACCATGCCGGCATTGGGGTCGAAACATCTCTTGTCAGAAGGCCCGCCTCCCCCTGGCGCGTGCAGCGCGCCCAGGGGAGGCGCCGCCGCGGGGTGCGCACCGCGCTGGCCCCGGGACTCCGCGCGGGTCTCCGGAAGCGTGCTTCATTCTGCACGAATGAGATGGGCACGGAAAGAATGGGTACAATTCCCAACAGCAGTTCTTGTTCATTACCTAACAGCGAAGACTGATAGGTTTCTAGTGGGATCAAAAGAGAGCAGCAGATCACTCCACAGGGGGGTCCGGGCAGGTGTTGGGAGTTGCCGGGCGGCAGTGAGCCGGGCTTTCACCAACAGTCACACACTTCGTGCTCTTCGCCTTCCCAGAACTCCATTCCCAGGCCACATTCTGGGGGGCCGGATGCAACTGTAGGCCACTTCGTGCTCTTCTATTTCCCAGAACTCCATTCCCGGGCCACATTCTGGGGGGCCGGATCCAACTGTAGGCCACTTCGTGCTCTTCCATTTCCCAGAACTCCATTCCCGGGCCACATTTTGGATGCCCGGAGCCAACTGTAAGCCACTTCGTGCTCTTCCATTTCCCAGAACTCCATTCCCGGGCCACATTTTGGATGCCCGGAGCCAACTCTAGTCCACTTCCTGGTCTTCGAGTTCCCAGAACTCCATTCCCGGGCCACATTTTGAATAGCCAGACGCTTCATACTCCTTCCGCCACAGCTGTGTTTGGTTCAGGACTTGCTAGTGACACTGCAGTCCTCTGCATTCAATCGTGCCACTGCATTCATTCACTGCAGACCACTGAGTTTTGATTGCAATGGCGTTCCCCTGGCCGTACCCCCATGTCCAACGTTCATCCGCAGCCTCTGCTCCGCGAGGCTCGTCCGAAGTGTCGCCGCCTCGCGGTGCTTCTCAGCCTGCGCCGCCTCGCGGTGCTTCTCAGCCTGCGGAGGAAGGTGGACAGACGCCTGGTTCTGGCGCTGTGCAGCCTGCGTCTTTCACGGTCGCCTCGTTCAATTTCGGGTTCGAGCAGGGCATGATGACTGGTAAGCAGGCGGCCACTCACTGCGCTAACTTCGGAAGGTTGTGCGCCACGATAGTGGAGACCGCTGATGCTGATATTGTCTGTGGCTGCGAGGTCGGTGCGTTCCGTGAAGGCTTTCGCCGAGCAGGGATCAACGTGACAGAGATCCTCAGTAAGCCTTTCGGTGATGGCATTCGCTTCTCGGAGGTCGACAACTACTTGACTCTCTGGGGGTTCCGCGGTGCTTCTCAGCCTGCGGAACTGTTTCTGGATTACAGCAAAGTTTACAGGCCTCCTAGCGGCCGAGAGATTGATGCTGTTATTTCACATTTTGAGGTGAACAAACCAGGCCATGACAAGTTCCACGTGGTGATCGCCAACATGCACATCGTGTGCGGCAAGAAACCGCCGACCATCCAGACTCGAAAGCGGACAGTTCGCCATCTCCGCTTGCACCTGGACGGCCTGGCCAAGATTCTTGAGAATCTAAACCAGGCAGTCGTTCTGCTTGTAGTCGGCGACGACAACCTCACTTTCCAGGAGGCGCGGGAGGCTTACCAGCGCCAGCAGAACGACGAGAAGGTATGGGAGGTCCATGCCACTCCGGCCGACCTCAAAGGCGACCACGTCGCGGTCTGCGGAGCAGTCGCCCGTTTCTGCTCCATTGCCGTTGGCGCGTCTTTTACGGATCGTGGCATGCGCAACGACGCACACGATGCGGTGGCGGTTGTGCTCACTCTCCCTGGTGCTATTCAGCCTGGGGAGAGCAAGAGGCGGAAGATTGTCGTCGAAAACGTCTCCGACGCCGACGTCAGCGTACAGGCGGACCGCGAGTCTTCTGTGCATTGGGATCGGTCGCCGAGTTCTACTCCTCCGCTTTCACCGACTTCACCGGGTGATCCCGACTACGTCGAGGATGTCGTTCAGAATCGCGCGGACGACTTGCACAGGGAGCTGAGGCAGCTTTGGGACGACAGGTACGACGAGGAGTACGATCCGAAAGTCCTCCATCATCTCAGTCTCTTGCTTTTCAAAAAGAGGAAGTCCACGGAGCCAGCGGACACTAATCCAGCTGGCGCTCCTCAGCCTGGCTCGGAATATGACGCGGCCTTTGCGTCTCAGGAGGAGACTGGCCGAGCCATTCTCTCTGTCCTTAAGCTTCGACATGACTTTCTGCGGAGCAAGAACATCGACGACATGCGCTACGTTCTCACGGAGCCTGAGCGCCAGGAATTGGTCAGAGTAGCTCGCGACCAGTACGAGCAGTCGCGGCAGCAGCGTGCGCTTCAGGAACGGGATATCGAAAAGGGAAAAGCGAAAGGCAAGTCTGCGCCACAAGGGGGCCATGCGGTTCCGCAGGGTCCTAACAAAGGGCCAGGCGGTAAGAAAGGTTCTCACGGTGCTTCTCAGCCTGCGGGAAAAGGTGGCCAGGCCAAGGGTGCAGGTCTGGGTAGCGTCGCCAAGTTTGTGAAAGACCAGAAGCGTAAGCGGTGGCATCGCCATTTGCAACGTGTGGCCGGTACCAAACAGATCTGGGAGGTGCTGGCCTTCTCAGGGCGCTTCGACGTTGATTGGCTAACGCAAGCGTTGCAAGCTGATCACAGTGAGGGCCGTGATGCAGCAGTTCCCGAGGAAGCTCTGCGGCAACAGCGGCGCCGGCTGCACCACCAGAAGGCCGAGGCCATCGCGCGCTACAACGAGGGGGAGCGGCTTTCCCTCCATCTGTCTGCCCAGGCTGGCCAGCCAAAGCCGAACTTCACGCGCAGGCAGCTGGGCGTGTTGCAGATGTTTGAGAGCGGAGCGCTGCTTCAAATCCGCAACCAAGCGATTCTGGCGTTGGGGCACGGCCGTCTGTTCAGGGGCGATGGCGACTACCTGGACATCGGCGGCAGCACGGGCGGTGGCTCCAGGCGCATCATCGATTCTTGGCAGCCGCCGGACTGGCGTGACTTCCTCCAAGACGATCAGGACATCTGAGTTTTGCAAGTCTCCCTGCCCGCGGTGCTTCTCAGCCTGCGGTCTGCCGCTCTCCAGCTGCGGTCTCGAGCAGTAGTGTTCGAAAGCATGCGAGTTCCTGCGGTGCTTCTCAGCCTGCAGGTTTCGCAGCCTGCGCTCTGCAGTACAAGTGCTTTTCAGCATGCGACATCCTGCGGTGCTTCTCAGCCTGCAGGGTTCGCAACGTGCGGTTTGCAATGTATTCCTTTTCAGTATGCGAGTTCTTGCGGTGTTTCTCAGGCTGCAGGGCTCCGAGGCTCTTCGCTTCGATGCCAATGTTTTCAGACACCGTAGCTCCGTTCCGTAAACATCTTCCAAGAGCCGCTCGCAACCTTTTGCAGCTGGCTGTCTGCAGACGTAGTCTGTCTCAGCATGCGAGCTCCCGCACGCTTCGCCGGCTTTTGCTGCGCGGACAATTTTCTCACACACGTCAGCGCCGTTTGTAGGCGTCAGAAAAACATGTAGACATTCACGAAGGGCTTAGTCTGTATATCGTCACATCATTACATACGCAGTCGTCGAACACATCGGTGTACATTCAGCGCTTTGTCCTTCTACAGCATTCTTTCCGTTGATAACAGTGTTCTGATGGGTTCGCTTCGTTCTAAAAGCGTTGATAGCAGTGTCTCGTTTGCGGACAACTCATTCTATATCAACTCACTGATACCGAGTTTCCTTTCACCATAAGTGAATGCATACCAGTGTATGTTGGTTACTACAAAAGTGGGTTCCTACAACCGACTTCATGATCGCTATCATCATCGCAGATTTCACTCATCCTCATCACCACGACTGGTTCACGTTGGCCTGCGGTGCTTCTCAGCCTGCAGTTCCTTTCGTTACACTGTAGTTGAAGCCGTTCATGGCAGTGACTCGTTTAAAGACAACTTTAGTATTGGGGGAAGTGTCGATAGCAGCGTTTCTTTTTACTTATACAAGCGTTGATAGCAGTGTCTCGTTTGTGGACAACTCATTATATATCAACTCATTCATACAGAGTTTCTTTTCGCAGCAAGTGAATGCACAGCAGTGTATCTGCATTACTGGCCCCCACTCCATTATCACTATCATCATCAACGATTTCCTACACGCGTGTGCGCGGCGGTCGCCATGAGTGAATAGTTTGCAGAGACTTCTCGCATTGATACCCATGGGTCACTTCAGAGTGAACTCATTTGTGATCTTCTTTCATTGGAAGTTGAATCGGTTGATGGCAGTGCCTCGTTTAAATTCCACTTTGGTATTGCTAGTAGTGTCAATGCCAGCGTTTCTTTTTAATTGTGCAAGCGTTGATGGCAGTGTCTCGTTTGTGGTTAGTTATAACAGCGTTGACAGCAGTGTCTCGTTTGCGGACACCTCATTGTACATCAACTCGCTGATACCGGGTTTCCTATCAACACCATCATCATCATCCTTAACCATGTTTGCTCGAGTTTCACCTGGCCGTCCAGCCGCGGCGGTGCTCCTCAGCCTGCCTTGTCACAATGCCAGCACGCGGCAAGGCATCGCCCCCGCCACCCCCGGCCCCGTGCGATGGCCCGTGGGAGATTCTGCCGGATCCGCCCGCACCGACTCCTCAGCCAGGTGTCGACGTGGTCTTTGAGCAGGCTCACCTCGAAGACATCCGCCGTACACCAGGGATGGGCGGCAAGACCGCCTGCCAGTGGCAGCGCGCGCTGCGCGCCGAGTGCATTGTCAACAACTTGTCGTTCAAAGACGTAACAAACGACCCGTCCTACGACTGGAAGCAACTGCTTCGGTCTGCCGCTCCGGGTTTCGCTGAGCGCATAATCGGGCAGGGCATCGCCCAGGTTCTCTTTCGCATCATCGAGACAGAGCGCGACCCTAACTACTCCAACACGGATGGCCACGGCAGGCACTTCTTCGAGTTCCGTCGTGCAGACGGTTCAGCCATGCGCCTGCATTACCATAAGAACGGCCGACCCGATGAGCCCACCTATGTCGGTCCACCACGCGCCGTTGCTCAGCCTGCCGTGCCTGAGCCTGGCGCTGCTCAGCCTCATGTTCCTCGTGGCGGCGCTGCTCAGACTGCCGTGCCTGACGGTGGCGCTGCTCAGCCTGCCGAGACTGGCGGTGATGCCCCACTGCTCTTCACACAGGAGCACCTGCAAGAGGCAGCCTGCTCGCGCCAGATTGTGGGCCGCGACGAAGCCAGCGCCGCTCTCCAATCGCTGTTGCACTACCACCATGGCGAGACTGCCCCAGGTGCTGTTGACATCACCGATGGCTCAGCATTTGACTGGCTTCGATGGGTGGCACATATCGAAGGTGCGCGCGACGTCATCCGCAATGGCGTCCACAGGGTCTACGCTGTCCGCTGGAATCCGCACTGGGCTCCAGAGGCCGTCTTCTGCTACGGCAACAACACCTACAGCACACTGGTGCCCCGCAAATCGCGCTACACAGGCTCGTGGAGCCACGCGCGAATTGTGACTCACCGGAACGCCAATTGGGTGACCGAACCGTTGCTATCTGCGGCCCCTGTGGCAGCTACGCCGTGGCTGGTGTTGCGGGATCAAATAACCTGGGAGTGATCTCTGGCAAACGAGATGTGGTGCTTCTCAGCCTGCACTCATGTGACACGCAATGCCGTGCCCTGCAATCGCGTGGTGTTTCTCAGCCTGCACTCGCAGGTCCTTCGGAGGTCAATTGTTATGAGTTCGGCACGGTCTCGGTCAAGTACAGCGTGCTGTGGGGATCCCGAGATGGGGCCTGGCTCAAGGTGCTCAAGACGTACTGGAGTGTCCCAGAGCCGGAGTGCCAGCTGATCCTCGGGAGTTGGAACGGCATTTTCAGGCCGTGGCCGGACACGTTCTGGATCAGGACGGGGGGGTCCGAGCCCGAGATAGATGCTAGCGCTCTGCAGTACAAGTGCTTTTCAGCATGCGACATCCTGCGGTGCTTCTCAGCCTGCAGGGTTCGCAGCGTGCGGTTTGCAATGCATTCCTTTTCAGTATGCGAGTTCCTGCGGTGTTTCTCAGGTTGCAGGGCTCCGAGGCTCTTCCCTTCGATGCCAATGTTTTCAGACACCGTAGCTCCGTTCCGTAAGCATCTTCCAAGAGCCGCTCGCAACTTTTTGCAGCTGGCGGTCTGCAGACGTAGTCTGTCTCAGCATGCGAGCTCCCGCACGCTTCGCCGGCTTTTGCTGCGCGGACAATTTTCTCACACACGTCAGCGCCGTTTGTAGGCGTCAGAAAAACATGTAGACATTCACGAAGGGCTCAGTCTGTATATCGTCACATCATTACATACGCAGTCGTCGAACACATCGGTGTACATTCAGCGCTTTGTCCTTCTAGCTGGGTCGCTTCGTGCTGAGGCTGAGGCTGATGCAGGCTGAGGCTGAGGCAGGCTGAGGCTGAGGCCGAGGCCGACGGCAGACTGAGGCTGAGGCTGAAGCAGGCTGAGGCTGAGGCAGAGGCAGGCTGAGGCTGAGGCTGAGGCAGGCTGATGCTGAGGCAGGCTGAGGCTGAGGCTGAGGCTGATGCAGGCTGAGGCTGAGGCAGGCTGAGGCTGAGGCCGAGGCTGAAGGCAGACTGATGCTGAGGCTGAAGCAGGCTGAGGCTGAGGCTGAGGCAGGCTGAGGCTGAGGCAGGCGGAGGCTGAGGCTGAGGCAGGCTGAGGCTGAGGCTGTGACTGCGACTGCCGTTGCCGCTGCGACTGTCCTCGCGAATGCGACGACGACTGCGAGAACAGCAGAATTCTACAACTGGATTCTCATCCGAATCTTAAGGGGGATGCTTCCAGATATGCTCCTACACATGGCTGTTAGGTTGCTTTGCCGGGATAATTTTGAACAGGACCCGCTGTCCGCGCCGCCGCGGCCTGTGTCCATTCGAGACAGGAGGCCGCCTGCCCAACAGCGGCCGCTGTTGGTTTGGGACAACATGTGCTGTTGGTCATTGCGCCCATTCTCTCCGTACCCATCTCGGGCGTCCAAATTCATGCCTGCGCCGCTGCCTGCCCTTCTCCCCCCTCGGCTGGGAGGCCTGGCCCGACTGCCCGCTGCACGGCGACGGAGCCCCCTCCTGCAGGTCCCAGAGGCCCCTGCGGGAGGTCGTGGTGCGCCTGGGCGAGCGGCGTGCGGCCCCCGTGCGCGTCGTGCGCAGCGGGGCCCT